TTTTCCTTTTTTAGAATACATAGGTAAAATGCAGGTAAATCCAGGTAAATCCTAACCAGAAATCAGACTATAATTGTTATCAAAACACATTTCACACCTATTGTTTTATACCTAATTATCAAATGTGTGCAAAACGGGAACACACCGTTAGAACTTTGAACAATGTCATGTTTTCTAGATGAGGCTTATGATTCCAAATGAATGCTAAATGTTCTTATACCGATGTTTGAAACAAAAGGATTCCTCCACTGTATTGATAAAGATTAAAACTTGTATAGATTGAATTGAATGATTTACTAAAAAACAGGATTGGGCCATCGTTTTAAATCAAAAACAAAAATTTACTATTGAAATATTGAGAAAAACAAGGTCAACTATTAATGAACTTGCTGGAAAAGATTAAAAAGCTGCATTAAAATAAACCAAATTTATGTGAAAGACTTACGTGTAACGCTAATGGCCACGAGGGCACAGAATAAAAGAATGGCTAATCCCTTCATATTAGGAGAAATCCAATTCTGTCAATGTTACAGATCCGAAAACAAAATTGTTGGATGGCTAGGAGTCGCGAACGAGTCTCTTTATATAACAAGAAAATTAAATTTATGCTAATTAACAGTCGTCTATTCATGTCGCACTAACATTATCTATGTATTTTTAATTTATGGATATTATGATAATTTGAAACGATCACGCATCGTGTCTTGATTAATATATGGTTTGAGGGAAATATATTTTGTGACATAGTTCACTGTTGGAATTTTGATTATTTTTAACCACATGCATTTTTAGCTGTTTGAAGGGGATATATTCACGATTCGCGCGGTAATGATTCCTAATTAAATGATATTATTCATGCTATAATGCATTGTTTAAAGTTTTTCAGGTAACAAAGTCGCCGAAACGAAGAGAGAGAGAGAGAGAGAGAGAGAGAGAGAGGTTGCATTCCTGTGTCTCGATATTTTGCAGATTATATTGATAAAGAAAAAAGCACATATTAAGGTGATTCTTTGTTTACTGTTTACAGTTAATCTAATTAAATTCATTTACACTTCAAAATTTTAATTCGAACTTTCTGAAGTAAGTGCAATTTGATCTGATTCAAGTTTTATGAAGATCTATGTACTTATTCGATTAATACAAAGCATTGTTCAAAAAATAATAAAGTATTACAATTATTTTGATCTTCCATTCATTAAGTTAAGTTCTGGTTAAGTAAATAAATTGGGGGTACTGATGTCAAAAAGTTCACGATCCCCTAAATTCCCCCCAAAAAACTTAAGATTTGACATATCTATTTTATTTTTCTCTCTCTCGCCGATATGGAAATTAATTGAATCATTAACACCATAAAATTAAGCTTTTACCGTTCTTGATTTAGAATACCTCGACAGACAACATTTTCATACTTGTTTTTCTTTAAAGAAACTAGGAAAATGCCAACCTCTGAAACTAAATCATTTTCAATGTTTTTGAGATAATTTTTTTTAGGATGATTGATCGAGTATTGAATCCCCCCCCCCCCCCCCCCGATGATATAGTTTCTGTGGTTAAGTAAGCTTGTAAATACAAGAAACACTTTAACTCTGTCCTACTCAAGTTAGTTTTTGTGAAAATATGCAATTTAATAATCATAAGGTAACTTTTTATCTTGACTTAGAATGAACCATTTCTATCAAATTATCACCAACAAAAGCTATGCACACTTTTAGCTGACTGTGCTCAAGATTTTTGAAATCTGAGAAATGAAAAGTTCCAGAACTTTCACTCTGGGACGACACAATTCGTGGGTTCACAGAAGCCAAATTCTAGGCTAGATATGGGTGAATTAACAAGTAATGACCAACAAATTGAATTTAAAAAAATCAGCGAACCATAGCATATTTTTCACTTATATCATCATATTGCATTCTAGTTAAAATTCCTGAAGTGACAAAAGAATAAACAATTGCATTTTTAAAAAAAAAAAAAAAAATTTCATTAGTAAAATTTAATTTGAAAAAAGAAAAGATTACTACATCCTAAAGGACTTTCTAAAATACATAATAAAAAGAAATTAAAGTTTTTATACTTCAAAATGCTGATTTTAATAATAATTCAGTACTAAATTATTCAATAGATCATTATTGATTAAAGAATATTAAATAGTATGAATAGAAAGTCTTTTCATCATATGACTTGAATCTTTGAAAAAAAGGTGTTGCACTCCTGGACATATAATATAGATTTAGCAATGTTTGAATTGATTTGAGACTTGATTTAGACCTTGTAATTGATAGATCTTTTCGGTAAAAATGTTCTTTGTGTCTTTATTTTCCAAAATAGATATCAGAGAATCATATATCGAAAAAAGTTTTTCCTTGCTGGGAAGCAAATCGTCAAATGTTGCACTCCTGACAAAATTGGTTATGCATAAATACTTGACTCTCATTAATGCTGATTGTGATTTATATAACATTTTTAAAGTTTTAAATGGTATATCAGTTATTGTTTTATACTTTGAAAATTCTTTTTCGACTTAATTGTCATACAGATTTCTAAAATCAATGTTTTTTAGCAGACTACTTTTTTTTCTGTTGCACTCCTGACATGGTATAACAATTTTGTTAACATCAGCCATGGCCACAACTTGGTCAAACAAAAGTTGCTACAGTTTACATTTAAAGATCAATATTTTGAATATTTTCAGGAAAGTCTTTATTTATACTATAAACCATTATTATTTATTTCAGTGATCTTCAAAAAAAAAAAAATATATATTGAATTTTCAAAATGTCAAGAAAGGCGTTGCACTCTGATATTTTTTGCATCATTTTTGGGCATAACTTTTTTGTGAATTGAGATATCAATGAGATACATGTATTTAGCAAGTATTTAGACAATTTCAAAAGACATATGCTGAGACTTAGAAATTTATTCCCATTGCCTGTTTTTTTAGTGCAGGTTAATACATATATGTCTGGTCATTTTTTTAAATTCACCAATATAGCTTTTTTATTCCAGAAAACATAGCTTCGTTGTAAAACCATTTATATTTTGACCTAAAATCGTATTAAAGAAAAAAGAGGTTATACATGTATGCAATAGTTAACAAAGTGTCTCTGTGAAAATAAAGAAAAAGAAAATAATATATTTTTTGCCACAATAGTAAAATAAATACCACAAGATTATGAATAAAACTCATAAACATATTTAAATAAGACAATATCTACATTATTCAGTTGTCAGAAAGTTTTCATGATTTTCTTTATAATTAATCAATTTCCGCTAAACCGTCAATACCGCTGAGGGAGCCAACAATGGCATTATCTGTTTTTATGAAATCTATTGAAATAAATCACGTTCAATCATAACCATAACATTATTAGTTAAGATATTTAATGATTTTTATATGACGGTTGCAATTACAGTAATGAAACGAAAATAGAATACCATTAATAATTCAAAGGAAAAATTAACGTTCTTTCTTAACATTCAGTTTTAGTTAAAAGGAGTAAACCTTGGTGAGTGTGATGTGTGGCCTTTGTGTATAGGATTCACGAGCACTGTGGATAACTTTTCCATCCTATCGATTTGTGATTAAAACCTATTTAGCATTACGTATTTAATGCTTTTTTTTTTTTTTTACATTATTAGGCTAATTCCATGAAAAATGTAATTACTATTTCATGTCATCAGCTTTTCTATAAATATACGAGTAACACTTTCCTTACACTAGTTCATTTAATTATATGCAAGTTAATAAGCATATGTTGATTGTTTTTATGATGACGAGAGAATTAACCATTTCCGACAAATTATTAATAACAAAAGCTATGCACACTTTAAGTCGACTACGCTTAAACTTTTTTAAAATTATTATTATTAATAAGATGAAAATGAAGTAAAAGGAAATACAATAAATAAAATTTTGTTCTTTTCCGTATGATTGGCACGGAAAAATAATTTGATAGATCGACCTGTAGTTATCAGGTAAGCAAAAACACAATAAAAAAGTCGCTTGACAAGATAAAACGTTATTAGTTCCTTTGGGGGTATCGGGTTCAGAAGCTGAGGAAAAGATAAATTGAAGAAATAGACGAAAGATCTAGTCTTTATCGGAGCTAGGTGAGATCAAATTATGCTTAATTACCATTTGCCTTATAATAATCCGAAACATGTCCCTTTATTGTAGCTAGTTATTCAATAACCACACAAATATTCGATATTCAAAGTCATACATATGTACATGTATAATATTTGAAGTATTTAAACGATGCAAAAATAAAAGTGAATAGTTTTGATTATCTAAAAAGTTAAATTTTAAAATCTAGTCTAATTTAGTATTGCTGATATTTTTATGTTAGTGCACCGACAGAACTCGTCCAAACTCTATATTTTCATTTTTATTGTAGAGTAGGTCGTAGATATTCCGGAGAGGTGTATTGAAACAAAAGGCTACATAATCCACACATATATTGTCTTTCTAATACCGTCCTTTAAAAATAGTTCTTTACCTATTTCAAGATGTGCAATTACGTATGTTGATCAACTTATAACGTTCCTTATCCGAAAATTACAATTATACAGGAACATATAATTATGGTAGAAAAACATTTATAGACGTGATATTTGTTTCAACGTCCAAAACAATTAATAACAACAACGCGATAAAGTATGTCGCAGCACTAATTTTAATACTAGTTCAATACCTGTTTAATATATAACTGTTGATTTTGACTCATATTGATACAAATAGAGCTTTTAAAAAAAGCTTACCGTCTTTAGCAACAACCTTAAACAGTAAACTGACCTACACCTATCAGGCCGTATTATTCTTGTGAGTTTCTTGTCTTTGTATTTATTCAATAGCATTTTACTGACATTAGTCCTACCAAGTGAAAGTTAACCAGACGCTCTGCTTTCTCGGCAAACCTTGGCTGTTTCTGTCGCCTTCAAACCATATAGATGAGGTACGAATCGGCCGAGGCATGCCAAGTGCTGCCAAGATAAGAAAGACACTGCGAAACAAAGGGGAAAAGAATGCGTACAAGCTGTAAAGATCAATTCTGCTTACAATGAAAATATAGAAACGTTTTTTAGTAACTAGCATGTTATTTAGAATTAATTACTGCCATTTTCCACTGTTCATTTTGTCATATTTTTTTACGATTGAAAATCTTGAAAAATTGTTAAGTCGTACGAAAATTCGATCATCAGAAAAGCATTTCAACCAATGAAATATTTGAAAATTTTCACATAATGTAATTTCTACCAATCACAAAAGAGAGGAAGTGCATAGTCCGAAGACTGTAAAATACTTCAACTCTGTATACCGTCTTCCAAGGAAGACGGTAACAATCTCCTCAAGGTCAATATCAAATTATGATGGGGTTGCGAAAGTCAATGACTCAAAAACAAAGACTTGTTTTAAAAAATTTCAAATTTGTACTATGAATATGTTATAGAATTAAAACACGCCATACAAGAAAAGAAATACATTGTTACTAAATAAAGACGCAATCAAAATTATGATGAATTTTACTTGTACTATTTTGTTGCTCCCCTTTTTGCAGGAATA